TTATTGAAGGCTTCTCTTTGACAACACGACAGTTAAAACAATGATAATCAAACAGAGGACGCAAATAACGGCAACGAGAATGCCAAAGGTCATTTTTTCAATTTCTCGATCTGAAAAAAAAAATGAAAAAGTTATATGCATTAAAATTAATATAATAAACATATATGCAGTTTCCGGCTCTAATGAAAATCTATTTTGCATTTTTCTTCAATGCTACTCATTAGCATTTGCGTGCAGCCTTGTAGCTAGACTAGAAAGTCATTGTACCTGTGTATAATCTTGTTTTATGTATTCTTACGTGTATGAACTGAATAAATATGAATAACAAAAGGTGTGGAACCAACAAGACAAAGAAAGAAGAAATGGCAGAAAGAACTCTAAAGAAAAAAAGGAGTTAATCATTATTTCTACTTGCATGTGTATAAGTAAATAATAAGTTTTTTTTCTTTTATTAGTTTTTGCTTTTGTTTTACAGTAAGTTTCACACAGCACAAGACCCGGGACACTCATGTTAAAAGGCAGTTTGTACGCATAGGAAGGGAAAATAACGGTGAAACCTAGACTTGAACAGATTAAGATTGTAGTGATCGGGGAAACATCCCATTGAGAGCCGGTTCCACAGAGCAGTGGTTCGTGGGAAGCTCTTGCAGTAAAACGTACTTCTCATCGATAGAATACGGGGGGAATATGGGTGGTTTGCTACAATGTAAGTGTTATGGTGGGTCCTAGCCTTGAAGATTAGACCTGACGGAACCAAGGAATGTAGTTCGCCCGAGCACTTTCCATGGAAATAGCGACAGAGCAGCTAGAGGCTCGCCACATCCCACCTATGACAGAGAGGTTGAAAGGCGGAAAATAATTCGTCACACAAAAAGGACTCGGTGACGCTTTTGTACTCTATACAGACTGGAAAGTGAGGACTCAGCAGTTCCCACCCAACTATGATAATAGTACTCCCTTTTCGACCTTTTTCTGGCTCTTGGAAAATGAGGAACTTACTGGAGCGATACAGGGAACTAGCATTTTACTTACATCTTTAGCGATGAATCGTATGTATGAGTTTCAGGTGTGTTTAAGATCCAAAAGTCTTTCAAGATACGGTTCTCCCCACCCACACCCCGAAGGGACATCCGATCATTATGACTGGCGTTAGTTCGGGGTCCAATCGGCTATGATGGAATGTAGCTATTTTGGTTTTCGAGACATTGAATGTGACCAGCCAGTTTTCCCCATTGGGAAGTTCGTGCTAGATCGGATGAGGGATCAGCTCCAAATCTCTGATGATCAAGGGGTGCATCCGTATATAGTCGTATCACCAACATAGATGTTTACAAATGATCTGAGTATACTCTCAGACAGATCATTAATGTAAATCAAAAAGAGGGTTGGTCTGAGGAGTAACTCCTGAGGGGCGCATGTGCTTTCCGTTAATAACTACCTTCAGGGACTGTTAAGAAGGATTTTATAATGAAGACCCTTGCAGTGATTCCATAGCTAGAGAGCTTGCGTAGCAAACTTTTGTACTACACCTTGTCGAAAGCCTTCAAGGTATCTAATTCTGTCAAGGGATTCCCTTATTCTGGAAATAATAGTAGTTAGGACATCAGCAGTGGGTTGGATCGATTGAAACTCGTACTGCTCGTCGGTGAAGAAGTTGTTCTTATCTAGGTGTTCGACGACATTCTTACTGATTATAGACTCGAAAAGTATACTGATGATACTGAGGAGACTGATGGGTCTATACTGAGAAGAGGGAAGATCACTCGCCCAGGTTCTTAAAGAACGAGCATACGCTTGACACCTTCCACGGGCTTGGGAAGGATTTCTCCTTTAAGAAGCGGTTGAATAACTTCGCTAGAATTGGGGATAATTCCCGGTTGATATTCTTAAGCACAACCACTGGAACTTTGTTTGAGCCAGCGTCTTTCTGAGGGCCCAGGCTTTTAATAAATCTAGAGACTTCTCGTGTTGTGATTAAAATATTACTGAGATTGTTTTCAGTGAGACGTAATGTGTAGGGGAAGGGATAGGCTTTGTCATCTAACGTTGAGTTTGAGGCAAAGATCGAGGTAAAGAGCTTTTCCTTGTCTGTCGAGTAAGATATGACCTCGGGGCCATTTATAATAGTAGACACAGCCGCTTTACCTCTGTTCATGATTTGGTTGGCGATCTTCCAAAATTTGTGGGATCCAATTTTGTTTCTTTTCAACTTTTGTGCGTAGCTGCTCTTTGCGTTTACTAGAACTTCTTTTGCAGCGATTACTGGCGGTTCTAAATGCAGTAATGGTCAAACTACACCGCTTCTTGCGATAGATTTTGAAGGAGTGATCTCAGACAGTTATGGCTGCAGCACATTCAGGGGTGAACCAGGGCTGACTGATTGGTTTTTGCCTGATTTTTTTTTTTTTTTTTTTACTCGGAGGGATAAAAAATCCATTCCAGAAAGGATTCATTCAGAGACGAGGACAGCAGTTTTGGAAGCAGCATGCTTGAAAAGGGTAGAGAGGGGAGCTTCCATCATATTGGATCGAAAGCTGTCTCAGTCTGCTTTCGTTCGATGGAACGACAAATCATGTATGCCTTAGATTTGGTATCACTCTGGACACTGACTAGGGAATGGTCTGAGGTGCTAAGGTGATGGAGAAGTCTCTGCAAATCTGCCTTCGTCATCAGTTTTGTTCTAGTGGACTAATCACTCTTTGTGGTGGGTATTGAAGTCACTGCAGATATGAACGCTAGCCGAGGGAAATTCGTTGAGGATGTTATCAATCCTCTCAGGCATTCGATCAAATAATAATGTCCCTTCGTCCTGGGTGCGAAAGAGAGAAAAGACGAATTTAGTACTATGGATGAGCCACGCGGAAGCATATATATGGGATATCAGAAAAACTTTTTTCCATTGGGATCCGCAAAAAGCTATGGGTAAATGAAGGCGAACTCAAGTGGACAGTTAATATACAATGAAGTTTATAATTAGAAATATAATTAATGGAGCACGTAAGTGAAATATATCAAGAACAGTTTTTCAGCTTTGCTTTATGATTTTAAACGTTATAAAATGCCTCTCAAATTTTGAATCATTTTATAAAGTTAAATATATTTATTTTCTAGTGAATAAATAAAATAAAGTTATAGTATAAATTTTACAATTACCTTTTTGAATGTCTTCTTCTAGATTAATTAATGGTGTGGTAATGGTTGTAGTCTCTAATACTGTGACAACTGGTATCCGACTGATTGCTTCAGGCGTGAAATTTCGACAAACAGGAAAATAATCCGGTGCTTTGGGCACATCAGCGAAAGATTCATTCAGAAGCATTGCCATTCCGTCCATATTATGCATTTCAATGTGACAGTGCATAAACCATAAACCTGGGTTATCGGCCTTGATCCGAATAACAGCGTAGCCACCCGACGGTACAATGATAGTATCCTTCAGTGGAGCTCTTTTTAATTTAATTCCGGGGATGTTGTCACCACCCCAGTTGCTGTTGCTCCAGGCAGCATCATTGCAAAAATTCTTCTTCGGATCACCACGGCAGTCAACATCGGAAGTATCGGCGATAAATGAACCAGTAGTTTCATTAAAAGTAGGATAACCCATTTTCACTACTGAAAACGTGTATCCATGCATGTGAATTGGATGATGGGAACCTTTGCCCATCCCCATATTTAGGAAAATCATTTGAATAGTATCGCCTTTGATTAGTTTTAAAGAGTAGGTACACCCACATATCCTATCAACCCCACAGTCTTTCTTGTCACATAATGTATCTACTTCGTCTGGCTGGTATAGCGCATTTACGGAGGGCTCAACGTATTTCCGCCCATTCACTGAACCCGGTGTTTTACCGGGTACACCCGGAAAAGCAAAATTTAAAAAGTATTCTTTCCATTTCCCACGTACGACACGAGGCACTTCATAATCAGAAGTAGAATTCAATTCAGAAAATGGGATACATTTTCGGTGTTGATCCATTGGATAAAATGAAAATGCGCAATTTAAAACGTTACATGGATCATCTTGCGTGCAATTCCTAGGTGATGAATTCGGTTCTTCATCAGGAGCACCCTCATAATGCAAAATAGCTTCAAACCTGTTGTTCTTTTCAATTTCTGTGGTTTTTCCCCGAATCCAGTAGTTTCCAACTGTTTCATTAGTTGTAATAATAAAATCGAAGCGTTCTCCAGGGTTTATAACGAAGACATCTGCTATATATGGCTCCAATCCGGAACCATCTGAAGCAACAATCTGCAGCTCGTGTCCATCAACAGAAATTTCAAACGGATACTGAGCACTGGCTGATATAACTCTGAAGCGATAATTATTTCCTGGTTTAACAGTAAATTTAGCAAGAGGCGCTTCGTTATGAATACCTTTTTGACTATAGAATCGTCCACGGCCATTGACTAAACCAGAATGAAAATTGAAAAGACTGAAGAATGATCCGTCTAAGGAATGGGTGTTTTCGATCTTTTTCTGCTTAACGTACATGCCTTGCAAAGTCCGGACGTAAGCTACATCGGAATCCCAGTGATGATTGTAATCTGTAACAACCATAATATGTTCTAGTATTGGCATCGGATTTTTTTCCCTAATAATAAACGCTCCATAGAGCCCCATGGTCCTTTGCGTGCCAATATGAGAATGATACCAATATGTGCCAGTTTGTGTAAGTTTAAACTTATATGCAAACGACTGTGATGGACCTATAGGACATTGAGTTACGTAGGGAACCCCGTCCATGAAGGGTGTGCCTCTTTGGTGCAATCCATGCCAATGAATTGTAACGTCACTAGAGTATAGTTGATTTTCAACGTAAACAATAACTGTCTGGCCGATGTAAGCTTCGATTGCCGGGCCTGGGATTGTTCCATTAACTGCAATTACTAGTCGAGACTCTGAATAGCCATCCATTGTAATTACCTCGTCTTCTGGAACAGGAGTCGCTGTACTTATATTCACGGTTTCAACTGGATAGAGTTTACTATTCACAGCTTTCAGGAGTTGTTTTCCTTTCACCATTGTCAGTTGATAAGCAACAATAAACTTATATTCGCAAACATCAGCTTTCATGTCGCACGGTTCTGTTGCTGACATTGGTAGCAACAAAACAACGATTAAAATTACTCCAAATGGTAGGATCATAATTCGATCGACCTAAACATAAAAACAATTTTAAAAAATTAAATTTTTAAATAAATTGGCTGTTTATAAAATCAGCGCCGATTGTTTAACAATTCTTGTAAAATTATTTTTATTGTCATTGATTGATATTTTACTGGAAGATGTATCAAACCAGCTAAAACGAACACAGATATATATATAGATTTTTGCTACCAACAAAACAACGATTAAAATTACTCTAAAGGGTAAGATCGTAATTCGATCGAACTAAACGTAAAAACATTTCTTTTTTTCATGGAAAATGTAGTTTGTTGTAATTAGATAATAATTTAGTGAAAAATATATCAAAAGCAGGAAACCAGCCACATTATCAATTTTGTAAAACGAGCAGAAACAGAGGTAAGAGATATACGAGATGTTACTCAAAATTTTAGTGAATACTACCTTGAAAAGAATGCCCTGGTATCTATGTCGTTCTCATTTGGACATAGCTATTTTAGGTCACAGGAATTTGGGTTAATATAAATATGTGTGTATTGCATTGTGTTCAAGCTCGCTGAACAATTTCTCTATTTAAACTAACACCTTTTAATTTTTCAAGTCAAATCCTTTTAAGCGTTGAATCTAACCGTATTTCATTCAAGGAAGTAATCATAGAAATATAAAAGTTTTTATTTTGCTTTACAAATTGAGTTCTATGGATTTATTCAAATAAATTTTAAAAATCTTAATGGATTTAAGAATTTAAATTTACACATTTTTTAGAGTTAAACATAAAGCTGGTTACAAAGTTAGACAATACAACAGAACAAAAATAACATCTTAAAATATAAAAGCTAAAATAAAATGAAACGTATTGGTGTAACGATAATACTAACGTTTTGAAGTTTATAACAAAAAAGAAAAGAAAATCCTGTAGATGTAAATTTGGTTTTAAAATATAAGTGCCTAAATATGAAATATTTCCTATTGCATCAGTCTGTGAACCAGACAGTCATTAAATTTTTATTCATATTACTCTCATATTAATTTCATTTGCTTATGCAAATGAGAAGCAGCTGCGATGAAAAGCGACTGAAATTAAGATGAATGAAATAGTCATAAAAATCAGTAATGGTTAATAAAAATTCATCTAATAAAAAAAAACTTGAATCTATTCAAATGTAAGTTTACCTACTGAAATACTGAATTCGCGAAACCAAATATCAAATTCTTACCATTGTGAAAACGTTCGTACAATCACCAAATGAAGATTAGAACCTAAAATAAAAACCAAAAGAAAGTAATGAAAAATCAACTTATACATCAAGCATATTTCGTGATAACATAAAAAAATGATAAAGAAAGAAATTACATAGCTGAATTAAATAATAATTTGCGCTTGCATAATTCTATTTTTTAAATTTAAAAAAATTCGAATCTGTTTGACACGAACTCAGGTTGAACTTTTTAAAAATAGCGTATTTATTTAGGAGAAATTATTTTCACAGATAAATAAGTATTTACAAGATAAAAATGTTTCAAGGAACTCGACATAACCTGATTGATTCTTACAAATTTCCACAGTTTCAATATTCATTCAAAAATGCTTACAAATTTTGCCAATGTAAACATCTAAATACGAGAATAGATCAGTAATTTCTATCGACTTTGATGTGAAACACGCATGCGCAAATTTACACCCGCACATGCAAGTACCCGAAGTGTTACACCAACAGGATTCAGAAAAAATATGACATGAAATGTCTCTCCCGAAGATAGAAAAGATCATAGTAAATGCCTAAGAATTTTTTTAAAGATATAAGACATGACAAACACTAGGTAATCATAAAGATGAACAAATATATTATTCTGATATAAATATAGAATGGTTTGATTAGCATTTTATTTTATATAAACAAATCATGATATACTTTTTGAAAATATTCAGCTTTTCAAGTTGACCATGCTGGAAATGTTATAATGATCGTTAGAGTAATAAAGAAATTGACACGAATTCTAAATGCTCTATAAAAGAAGACTTTTAGTTTGTTTTTGTTTGTTTGTTTTTTGTGGGGTTTTTTTATTTTTTTTTTTTTTTGTTTGTTTGTTTTTTTGGTTTTTTTTAAGCCGTCTTGATTTCATTTACGTTATAAAAAGAGATGTTTGTGAACGCGAAGTGAACTATGTACAAATATGCAAAATGCGTACTAAATGTTTTCGGCTTGACCCAAACTTTCAAAAATTGATCAAATAAGAAAAAGAATTATGCAGGGAAACCCTTCATCGTCAGGAAAATTTCAGGTCTCACTTAGAAAAGAACTTGTAATCATTCAGAAAAAAGTTGATGGGCAAGAAGTTATTAAATACAAAGTTAATTTCTTCACTAAAGTTGAGTGTATACGGAAAATTAAAAAAAAATCTTCTTCACATTCGATTGGTTGATAAGGGTAAGACCCTTAAGCCTTATATCTTTTCTTTTTTTCGGAAAAAGAGGATGTATTTTGATTTTGAAAGTAAATTAATCGTTCACTCGCTAGTAATTTACAATCGCCTGAGGAGACGCATTGGTATGCGCCGAAACACGACTGCAATTGTGTAGCGATTTTTAAATGTTGTTTTAATATCCTAAAATAAATATACAGATAGATTTATTCTTGAATTAACAATATTTTTTCATGAAATCAATCTCTGTCTTTACTTTTTTTTACTTTACTGACAAAAACAATTTAAGCGTAAAATACCTTTTTTAAAACTCACTATGAAACCAAGTAAATTATTTTAAATGAAGTAATTATTTTCTGAAAAATTCTGAAAATTCCTGAAGAAAACTAATTACTGGTATTAATTTGATAAAATACATAGACAATATATTTACTTGAAGAAATAGTGGAATGTCCATCCTTTGATTATATTGTTTTAAAAAAAAAAAAAAAAGATTTGTACATAATTCCTCCCCAACCATCTGGTGTAACACTTCACAATCTCATTCGGTAAAAAAGAAGACCTCCAGTCATATTTTTGAGAAATCTAGACCCCTGTGTCTTTGCAATGGCATCAGATTTATTATCAAGATAATGAATCAACATGTTATTTAATTTCACCATAGCAGTGAGACCTAAGATGTTGTTTCTGTCAAAGATGAAGTTATTTCTTCCGAGCAACACCAGGTATCTCCGCTAGTGTTTATCTAAAAGAGTAATGCGATGCAATAAAAGAGCATATTGCAACATGACCGCATTGATGGAAAATTGAATGTAATCATAAGATTAGAAAGCTATCTATTTCTTTATGCCACAACTAACTGAAAAGTGTATAACAATTAAAAAATACAGTCCTAATCATAGAGTGTGACTGAAGAACCTCCAACATATACCTTCTACAAAATGGTAAGCAATTAGTGCGCTGAAGACACTATTGCCACTAATGTCTTACCATTACGTGGGACGTGTATGTAGGAGGTATTTCTGCCGCCCCCTGTAGTTTATATATATGAAATATAGTTGTATAACTTTGAAAGCCTATTGTCATTCCATTGGAAATGTTCATATGCGTTCCATTCTTTAGTTCCACCCGTTCAGACCATTACAGCCAGCACACACCATACTACTTCCACTGAGCGGAAACTCCCTCATTACCAACGTATACCAACGATAAGAATAAAGTTACAATCAGATAGCTTTTACTTAAAGACTTCAAATTTGTGAAATAGACTCTCGCGTAATTGCCTTTCTTAATCCTAACTTTTTCCAGTAGAAGCCCAAACTTTATCTATCCTCCTTATCCTCATTAACTTCACACCCTATCACCTCCTCTTTGATTCATAATACACATTTCCTATACCTTGGGTGGCTCGCAAGTGTTACGTTACATTAGGTGAATTCTAATATATATATATATATATATATGTGAAAAGTGAATATAAATATAAATAAATATATATATATGTATAATTATTTATATATTATATGCGCGGTACACCATATAAATTAAACAATAAGGATTACAATTTTTTACCTGTTACATATACACAGTCACCAAAAACAAACAAATAACCAGCTTTAAATATAACAAATAAACCCCCCATTTTTTTTTCAAAAATTTAAAAATAAATATAAATAATTTAATAATAATTTTTACCTATCATAATTTTACACAAACCCCACCACACATATATACATACATGCGAGAAAATATTTTTCAAATATTTTTCAACGGAAAAAAAAAAAAAAAAAAAAATTTCATAATATGACATGGATACATTCACGAGACAATAACGAGACATTTGACACACACTTCCAATGTTTAAATTTCAACATTTCAACATACAAATGCGTATGCATAGACATAACACCACCCGTATACATACATGTGTCATAGCCGAAACTGTCTACATATGTTTATATATATGTATGAGTCCCGACGGACGACCAAGTATGTATATGTATATGTGTCTGCATACATGGATGTTTGCGTTAGTACGATGAATGACAAAACGACGAAATTTCCCCCACCACTTCCACAATAACACCAATACACGCAATCTACATAAACCCAAATTTTTTAAAACAGTAATCAGTTTGTCTGACGATCGCTAAAGCGTGAAACCCAGGGTCACAAACTCACATCTATCCAACCAAATATATATATATATATATATATAAAAGAAATTTCACTTCAATTAATTTTCTGAATTTGCTAAAAATATATTTAAGCTTTGGAAAAAATGAATCTGTCATATATATATATATATATATATATATAGTAATCAATTTCACCCCAAGAAAGTAAAGTTTCTGTAAAGGGTGTGAAAAGTATTAGAAAACAAAAACTTTACTAAGGAGCGAAAAAAAGAGTAATCAGTAGGACAATAGATAGCGATTGACATTGCATTTAAACTTTTGAAGATTAAAGTTGGTTGGAAAACATGGAGCCAGAAAAGAGTATCACAAGCGAGAAGTGCAAGAAAATAAAATGTTAGCATAGAACTTACGGTTATATCTAGCCAACTGAACTGTAAATTGATGAAAGCTCGCCGTCAGTCTAATACTGTGCTTAAATTTAAAAAATCTAGGTACCATAGCGAAGAGCTCCTTCCAGTTAAAAAAAATCGGACGAGAAATTAATTCTATTTAACTCGGTAAGAAAGAATAAAGACGACCGTAATCAAATATTTCTTTGGTTACTCTAAAGTTAAGTATAACTTTGTTCTAATGGAAACAAATGGATGTAAATGGGGGTGGACATGGTAAAATTTTTAAAAATTAATGTCAGTAGAGAAAAGAGCAAAATTATGAAAAACCAAGACGAAATTTAAAAGTAAATGCAAAAATATACATACAACAGTGATGAAGCTTCCTATTTCAAGATTTAAACAAGCCAACTGCGGTCCATGCTTGACAAACTTATCAGTGGTGCTTTTGGAAATTAACAACTATACATCACTGAACTGCTATGTAATGTTGTACTGACGAATACCAAGAAGTCAAAGAAAGTAGGAATAAGAAAAAAACTTACGTTTACAATCACATATAGCTTAAATTTGTGAGAAACAATGCGGAAAAAGTAACTAAAGAATTTGACACTGACATGACGTTTTAATAACTTTTTTTTTTCTTCTCTTCAGTGACTTTCTGACCGACGTGACTTGGCTTTCCACTGTCTTTTCTACAAATATTTTCATGGCTACTGCTTTGACGAGTAGCTTTTTCCCTGGTGCCCGGACTACGTGAGTTTAAGCGTGCGACTAGATTGACATCTCGGTCACACACATTTACTGCTGAATTAGGTAAATGTAACCGTCACTTTTACTCTAACAGTTTCTTTTCTTACACTTCTCGCCTGTGGAACTTTCTTCCGTTTTCTTGATTCCCTGATAATTACAATCTTCAAAAATTTAAATGCACACATGACTCTCTGTGTATTAGTAGCCTTCCAGCTTTGCTTGAAGTGAAATGATTTAAAAAAAAAAGAATTAAAATAAAACGTAATAAAGGCCACAGTATCGGTGGAAACACTGAGTAAACACCTTAGCGTGTTTGTGTGAGTCACTCCTCGGGCAAGGAAAAAGACGGAAGTTAAACAAAATTACTTCGCTCAACAAAAGATAGATATTTGAGAAGACTCATGATCGATCACTTCCTGAATGTAATTGCACATAAAATGAATAAACTTTATCAATGAAATTTACAAAAATAGGTATCACCACAAACGTCCCTGTGAGAAAAGGTACGTAGAGATT